CCCCCCACTTGGCAGAAACTGGTGAGTGGGCCCTTTTTTTTTAAAAGAGCCGGGAACTGGGGCATTGACGTGTCTGAGAGAGCAGGCGGGGGATGGGTCCTGTCCAATTTGGAGATTCGGCTGATTCGGCAGCGGCCGAATTGATTTGGGACAGTTATTTGAATCACTGTCCCCTGAATTGGCTGAATCCGAAGCAAATAGTAGCCGCTTTACGCAGGCCTAATATACATATATGTAGTAGCTTGGGCTCTGCAGTGTTTAGACTACCCAGAATGGAACTTTTGCAAAGGACCCATACAATTGTTTCTATAGAGGAGGTGAGACTTCAGAGTAGCCAGATACCTGCCTCATTGCTGTCTGGCATACATCCATGTGCCTTGCCACCTAGAGTTGAGCTCAATACTCTGAGAAATTTGCAGTTCTTTAAGCCTGGCTCGTTCTGCCTCCTTGAACTTCAGTTGTCCTTTAATTTAGTCATTTACACAGTAAACTCTCCCACCTGTCTATAACAGTTTCACCCTATTGAGCTAGAAGAGTAAAGCTGGGGGTAGCTGGGAGCTTGTGAGACATTCGGTGCTTGTTTCTTTCCCACTTGTTTTTCTCATTGCATGTCCCCCCCCTTCAACAATTGAGGGTGTGGATTTCTTCCTTCTGTGTTTATGTAAGAAAAGCTTTTTATAGTCAGTCATTCCTGTTGGCATCTGTGCTTCCTTGATTGCAGTTGAACACATCATTTTCCCCCACTCCTTCCGTACAAGTGGAGCTAATGCAAGACCTTCATTTTTGTAATTAGTAGTAATTGGCATGAACCAAAAAAATGGTCACCATCATTCCAGCTTGCAAACATGCTGTTTGACTTCCTGGATTGTGTTTGCTAGTTTCCAGTACCTGGAAACAAGGTGACTAATTAAACACACACAGTTTACAGGATGCTCAGAAGGTCCACAGACCAACCCTAAATTTGCTTAACTGGCATTGTTGCTTGAAAGAGTAAAAGATTTATCAGAGGTGTGGGAGAATGCAGGGTGCGTTGTAGATACCAAAGATAGCACATTGACTTGATGCCCTTCTGTTGGGGAGCTTCTGCTCATTGTGGCTTTTCACCATCCCCTAACCTGTTCTGTGGCTGGGGACCACAGTTACACTTCTTTTAGTTGATAAAGCACTTGTCTTTTTTCCCCTGACATCCCTTTTTTAAAACCTTTTTCCAAAGGAAGTGTTGTGTGTAGCTGTGGGAGGTATTTAGGAATAGAAGTTTGCTTTGTCCAGTAAAGAAATGCAAGGTTTTGAGGTAATTTCAACATTAATATACTAAGTCCCATCTCTCAATATAATGTGTGCAGGCCGACCCTGGTGCCTGTGCAGAGCCCACTTATGAGATGAAGTTTCATTTAAAGTAATTGCAGTGGTTCATTGCTTCAAGAGCTTTAATACCTCTGTGCCTTGCTAGTTCCCCAAGTGACAAGCCGTAATCCATAAAGCAGCTCATGGTCCTGACTGTCACGTCCTCTTTTCCAACCACCAGATCACACTGCCTTCTCCCATCCCCCAAATGTGCATGCTAGAGACACGGATGGTCTTATGGTCTGACCAGGGGACTGGGCACTAGAATTCCCCGTTTCTAATCCCATTTCTCACACAGCTGGTTGTGAGGCCCTAGAGAGTCGTTTAATTTCTCCGGTACTGTTTCCTCATCCGTAGCTGTTCCATCACTATGTATTTGAAACTGATGCTGAATGGTTGGGGGTTTATACCTCATACATGTTGAGAGACTGCATGCCTGCAAAATGTAGTTATTTTAAAAAAAAGTCTTCTGTTCTTAAAACTGTTGGGAAAATCTCTGGTTTTAGACCTTCACAATTATAACTTGAAGTGTGACGTAAGCTCCACCTACCTGAAGTATGTATTTTGAATGGCATTTTCTGTTCCATGCCAGTGTTAGCCTTGGACTAGATCAGAGACACCCAACCTTCCAGTCCTGCAGGCTGGATGAATGGCACAGGTCAGTCTGCAGACTGGAATCCACGTGGGGTCAGTGTGTGGGGATGGTCTACAGGATGTGATCTGGCACACCAGCCCAACTCTGTGTGCCCAGATACAGCCATGTGCTGGCCTGAACCTGTGCCTGGATTTGACTGCACTGTGGTATGATCTGGATCCAGCTGCATGCTCATATGATCTGGTGCACAGGACTATATTATCTGGCTCTTGGGGCTCCTCGCAGGTCTGGAAATTTGGTAGCAGAGGAGCAGCGATTAACAATGCCACCAAATTTCCAGACCCTTGGGGGGCCTTCAGGCCAAATGACATGTCTCTGTTGAACACCCCTGGATTTGATTGTTTCTTGCTTTCGCCAGGGCCCAGTCGGGTAATAAACATGTCCTAATATGGCTATTTTAGATTCCTGTGGCCATAAAATGATGGGGGGAAAGGGGGAGAAAGAAGAGATTGACATAGGCTTAATGTGTAATGCTTCCCCCATCACCTTCCTAAGCAAGTAGATACGATATTGTTTCCTTCCACGTTTTAGCCTGTGGGGATAGTGAGGAGTCAGTTGTAGCCTAACTGGGCTGAGATGCTTTGCTGTCCTGCAGAACAGGATAGGAGGAGGGGCAGAATTGACTTTGACTCATCATTTCTACCAGGAGCTCCTCCTGGGGTGGTGCAGCTACATGCCACCCCAGCCTGGGACTGAGCCTGAAGGCTCAATCTAGCTTGTTGCAAATGTTTGAGAGAATCGTATTTTCTGGTAATTACTTGAGCATGATTCAGTGTTTTTCCTTATGTCTGGTCTTGTTGATAATTTTCCTGCTCTTAGATCTTCCATATAGTTGGGGGGCACACACCTTTGGGAATCAACAGGAATGTTGCTGCTGAATTCAGGAACCCTGAAGTGGGGCCCTGAGATGTGCAAGTACCATTGGATCTGCTGCTGAGATGTACTGACATCTTTGAAACCTGAGTTCATGGAGCATTGTGAATGCCCGGCAGCAGTCAGAACCAGGGCCCTGATACAAGTAAGACTATGAACATTCCTGGGGATTCCCTGAAAACAGGGCTGTTAGAGAATCCGGGAGCTTAATTCCAGAAAAAAGTGCTGTGTATACTGAATCAAAATTGTTCAGTGCTGAATGGGTGTGGGAGGAATACCTGAGGTTCTAGTAGGTCATTAGTGCTATTTATTTGAGGCTGGTAATAATATTGAGCAGACATATCCCATACAAAGCTCTCATGGGTTTTAAAAATACAGCAGAACTAGCAAAATAACTAAAGTTTAGCCAATGAAATGCGGTCAGCCTTTATGAAGATTACCTTGGTGGTTTCTTTTAAATATAAACTGCACCCTTAAAATCTACAAAGTACCCAATTTACTTAAAAGGAGTTATTTTGCCAAACCATAAAAGTACCAAGAATTGAAGCAATAACTTTTTAGGAAATCTAAATATACAGGATTTTATGAGAAAACTTTGTTTTCCAGATTTAAAAGCGTGTGATTCATATTTAATACTGCGTAGACCAAATTCATATTTCTATACAGGTTTAGAGTGGGCCATGTGCTTCATACAACTGATTGACTTCTCTGCTTTATCACAACACTGACATTTTTTTTTAATTCAGAGTACAGTGCTCTCTCATCTTGTACACCTATTTTTGAAACGTACCTCACATTACAGATGCAAAAATACACAGGGGCTCAGAATTCACTTCAATCAATAAAAGTTTAGAAGAACATTCTGCAACTATAAACAAAGGCAGACCTCATCCCTGAAGAATTTATTGCAATAGCAGCTATAATACACTTGGCACAGAATTCTTCCTTGAACCCAGCACTTGTAGACTTTGTGAGAGCAACATATTGAAGACCTTGCAGGTCAAATTGTAATACAGTTTTAAACAAAATATATTATTTTTAAAATCTCATATGTTCTGAAAGCCTCTAAAAATAGCTTCCATGTTAATATTTTAGGTCTGAGCCCTATTCTGCAAAGGTGCGGTAACATCTGAGTTCAGTAGGACTGCTCACAGGAGTAAAATTACTCATATGTAGGTGTGGTTGATAGGGTCCTTCCAAGAAATTTGGTTTTACCACTGAAAAAAGTGCAAAAGTACATTTCCTTAAAGGGTCCTCACAAACAACATTG